CAAGTATGTCTCTGATATTTCTGATAACTGTGGTGGAAAGGAAGACACTTGGATACAGGAAAATTCTGTTCAGGACACAATGAGTACCTCAAACTGTTCCTCACTGGAAGCAAAAGGGTCCAGGACCCTTTTGTGGTTCAAGCAGTCAGTTTCAGGATGGTCTTGTTTGTTCCTAGAATAAAACCTAGTATGTTTAGAGGAATGAATGGCCTGCACGTCTGTTGCAAAAACTTTCCGTAACTGTTTTATCTTAGCTAGGCTGTGTGTATAAGGTGTGCAGCAAATGGTTAAAAGTTAAGTTCCCTAGTAAATGTTTCAGAGTTTCTCAGTCTAATTTCACCCCATAGCATTCTGTCTTGCCTCTTCCCCTCCACTCTTTAGAATCTACCCGGGTAAAGGTCACCNTCTACCCCGGTAAAGGTCACCAGTGACTTAACCGTAGTTGCCTATCCTGAGCAGCGGCTACGTTACCCTACAGACTAGACTGCTCTCTCCTGGAAGGTCTCCTTTGTCTACTTCTCCTACCATCTCCCAAAAGAGGGCTCGTGTTTGGAGTCTTCCTCATTGTGGCCCTAGTCTAGTTCTAAGTTTTCATCCCTTGTCCGCTAGTCTTTCCGTTTTATCTCTGTGTACATTGAAGAAATATGTAGATAGTTGAGCAATACAGTTTATTGTTTTGGGTGCTTTTAAAAATATGTATTTCTAGACTCTAGAGCAGTGCTTCTCGAAGTGAGGCTCTTTGACCAGAGCAGCAGCATAACTTGTTTGAAATGCAGATTCTTATGCCCCATTCCAAACTCATGGGAGAGAAATTCTGGGATGAGGCCCAGCAATCATGTTTTAATAAGGCATCCATGTGATGCTGACACCTACTAATTTTGAGAATCACTGTTCTAGAGTCTTATAATTAATATTTTTGAGTTGTAGAATATGAGGATTTCTAATTTTTCTAGGTATATTATTATTAATTAGAAGACTACTTTTCTCTCCAGATATAAAAAATTACTTCTATGCTAATGTGTGAAAAACTTCACTGTTTAATTAATTAATTATTATTATTTTTTAAAATATATCTTTAGTGACTTCAGAGAGAGGAAGGAAGAGAGAGAGAAACATCAATGATGAGAGAGTCCTTGATCAGCTGCCTCCTGCACACCCCTCACTGGGGATCGAGCCCGAAACTCGGGCATGTACCCTGACTGGGAATCGAACCGTGATCTACTGGATCATAGATTGATGTTCACCAGCTGAGCCACGCTGTCCGGGCTTATTGTTTTTTAATCCTCACCTGAGGATATTTTTTCTGTTGCTTTTCAGAGAGAGTAGAAGGGAGGGAAAGGGGAAGAGAGAGAGAAAGAAACATGCCCCAGCTGGGGCTGGGGATCGAGCCTACAATCGAGGTACGTGCCCTTGACTGGAATCAAACCCAAGACCCTTCAGTCCGTGGGCTGATGCTCTAACCACTGAACCAGATTAGCTAGGGCTCACTGTTTAATTTTCATGTGTCTGATCATTGAGGTTGTAAAACTTTCATAAATTTATGGCTTTTCAGGTTTTCTACTGAGTTTTGTGAGAACTCTCTTTACTCAGTATGTTTTTTTGTCTTTTAACTTAACAGCATGCTTTCTGAAACTTTTATACAACCCTTCGTGTCTTCTGTCTTTTATTCTTGTTTTCCTTACCCCATGGGCCTAATGAAAATTTTTCAATATTTTGTCTAAAAATAAAAAAATTTAAAAAATATTTAGTACCTTAATCCATCTGGAATTTTTTAAAATAGATGTGATGAAAGGATCTTTTTATTTTATTTTATTTTATCTTAATTTAATTTTTTATTTTTATTTTAAAAAATTTTTTTAATCCTCACTTGAGGATGTGCTTAGAGAGAGGAAAAGAGAGAGAGAGACATTGACATCGATGTGAGAGAGAAGTATCCGTTGGTTGCCTTTTGTACACTCCCATGCCGGGGATCAAACCCGCAACCCAGGTATGTGCCCTGACTGGGAATTGAACCAGCAAGTGTTCTATAAACCATTTTGCTAATCTCTGAACAGTAATCATGGTAAGGATTAGTTCCCATACATCTTTTTCCATGTTACCTAATTCTGAACATTTCAGGGTGAACAGATCTTCCAGGCATCAGTGTCATTTAAGGATGTGACTGTGGGCTTCACCCAGGAGGAGTGGCAGCACCTGGACCCCAGTCAGAGGTCCCTGTATAGAGACGTGATGCTAGAGAACTACAGCAACCTCGTCTCAGTGGGTAAGGTCTGTTACTGTGTGATTCTAAATGGCATTTGAAAGTTTTTCTAATTATGAACCATAGAGACACTGTAGAGTTCAATGACAGTTAAGATTAGAATTCAGGAATCAATGTTGATTGATCACTTTTGGACACCAGGAAGGTATCTGTGTTTACCTCTCCAATGAATGTTCAGTGGCACCTTCATTGACCAACTCCAGAAGCTTCCTCCTCTTTTAGAGCCCCCGCAGTCTAGGCTGCCTGGTCCAAATCCTAAATTATTTCACTTTGACAGGGTATTGTGTCACCAAACCTGAGGTGATCTTCAGGTTGGAGCGAGGAGAGGAGCCATGGATATTGGAGGAAGAATGCCCAACCCAGAGATTCCCAGGTATGTTAATGTGTACTCTACGGATGAATGTCAGGGGCTTTATTTTCCTCTGGTTAATCCAGAGGTTCACAGCTTTGAGATGTTTTTTCATGAATATCTCTTTAGAGGTCCTTGATCCTTGGAAATGACTAAGAATACTGACTATGGAATCAAACATCCAGATACCACTATTACAAAAAAGCTGCTCCTTTTTGATTCACTTGTTGAATATTTACTCTTCTTATATTTACCAACAGTCCAGTTTTTGCCCATTTTGTCTTTACACTGTTTATTTCAGTTATTGTATATTTTTCAGACGATTCAGTTGCTCACCTTACCTCACTGCCCTGCATTCCTGCTGTTATCAGGCTTTCTTTCATACACTCATTTTTTGACTCAAATAATTTTTGAGTACATGCTATGTGCCAGTCATTTTCTAAGAGCTGAGAGTATATTAGTGAAAAAATAATGTCTCTTAATGAGTTTATTCAAGTAGTGCTAATGGCCACAGGTGCATGAAAAGATGCCATCATCATTAATCATTAAGGAAATTCAGATCATAGTTGCAATGAGATATCACTTCACACCTGTTAGAATGGCTAGCATCTAGAAGACAAGGGGTAGCAAGTGTTTGCAAGAATGTTTTAAGAAGGGAATACTTGTACATTGTTGGTGGGAATGTAATTGGTTCAGCTACTGTGGAAATCTGTGGAGGTTCCTCAAAAATTAAAAATAGATTTACTTGATCCAGCAATTCACCTCCTGGGTTTGTACTGAAAGGAAATGAAAACAGAATATTGAAGAGATAAATGCACTACCACGTTTATTGCAGTCTTAGTCACAATAGCCAGATACAGAAACAACCTGAGTGCCCATAAGTGGATGAATGGATAAAGAAGATATGGTAAATATGTATATATATGTGTGTACACACACACACACACACACACACACGAACATTATTCAGCTATGACAAAAGAGGCCATCCTGCTATTTGTCACAACATGAATGCACCTTGAGCACATTGTGCTAAGTAAGTCAGACAAAGGAAGATAAGTACTGTATTGTATCACTTATTTGTGGAATCTAAAAAAGCCAAAAGCCAAACTTTTAGCCCCGACCTAGGATCCAGGAGATCGAGGTTCAGTTCCCGGTCAGGGCACATGCCCGGGTTTCGGGCTCGATCCCCAGTCAGGGTGTGCAGGAGGCGGCCGATCAATGACTCATCATTGATGTTTCCACCTCTCTCTCTCTCTCTCTCTGAAATCAATAAAGATATATTAAAAAAAAACACACAAACAAACTGGAAAAGAGCCAAGTAAACCCAAAGCAAGTAGAAGAAAGAAAATAAAGTTAAGAGCAGAAATTAGTGAGGTTGAAAATAGGAAAAGAATAGAGAAAAAGAATGAAACAAAAATCTGTTTTTTGGGGGGAAAAACAGTAAAATTGATAAACCTTTAGCAATATTGACAAAAATAATACTGACAAATATTAAAAAATCAGCAATATCAGGAAAGAAAGGGAAATCATTTCTGTACCTATTAACAGGAAAATAAGTGAGTGTTGTCAACAATTATGCCCGTAGTTTGACAATTTAAAGAAATGGAACAATTCTTTAGAAACCCCAAACTATCAAAACTTAATCAAGATAATATACATAATTTGAATGGCCTATAGATTGTCATAGAAAGTGTCATAGATAATTCTAACTAAAGAAATTTTAAATAAAAAGCTCCAATTAAAAAGAAAAGAAATGTGGAATATCATCACTGGAGAATTTTACAAAACATTTAAAGAATTAACAATGATTTTACACAATGTCTTCCAGAAAGTAGAAGATGAGGAAACACTTCCTAAGAAGTTTATTATTCTGATACTGAAATCATACAGAGATAGTACAAAAATAATAAAACTACAGGTCTATGTCTCCCGTAAATCTAGCAAAAATTATTAACAAAATACTAGCAAATAGAAATCAGCCATGTAGAAAAAGAATTATATACCATGACCAAGTGGGATATATTCCAGGTATGCAGGCTGTTTAACATTCAAAAAATCAATCAGTGTAGTCCACCATAGGCTAAATAAGATGCTATTATACATTGTATTGCTTTCTAAATTTTCTTTCAGATTGTTCATTGCAGGTATATAGAAACACAGCTGATTTGGGGTGTTGATCTTTTACCCTGAAACTTTGCTGAATTTTGTATTAGCTATACCAGCCTTCTTATAGATTCCTTAGGTTATTCTGTATTTAGAGGGAACCTTCCTTAGTCTGTCTTTAAGGTCTTTCTTTCCCTAACCTCAAAAGCAGATGATGACATAAGATGAACATAGATGCAGAAATTGAAACAGAATCCAACACTGTATAAAAAGAATTAGATACCATGACCAAGTAGGATTTATTCAAGGTGTGCAAGGCTGGTTCAACATTCAAAAATCAATTAATAGAATCTGCCCTATCAGCAGGCTATATAGAGAAAAATAATATGATCATATATATTAATTGATGCAGAAGAAGCATTTGACTAAATCCAATACCCATTCACGATCAAAACTCAGCAAACTAGGAATAGAGGGGAATTTCCTCAACTTAATGAAAAACATTTATCAGTAAAAACCTGTTATTGTCATACTTAATAGAAACTGGATGCTTTCTTCATAATACAAGGAGCAAGGCAAGGATGTCCTGTCTCAACACTCTTTCAACGTCCTACCTGAAATTTTAGGTCATGCAATAGACAGGAAAATAAAAAGTATACAGATGGCCCTGGAAGAAATTAGACTCCTTTTTCACAGAGGCATGATTGTTTAAGTAGAAAATCCTCAAGAAGTGCAAATTTCTGGAACTATTAAGTTATTTTAGTAAGTTTGCAGGAAACAAGCTTAATATTCAAAAGTGAATTGCTTGTCAATATTTTACTTATGTCTTTTTATTGTTGAATTGAAATAGTTCTTTCCATATTCTATAGGTACTTCAGTCTCTAATTAGATATGTAATTTGCAGATTTTTCTTTCATTTGTGGGTGGTTATTTCACTATCTTGACTTCGTACTTTGCAGCAAAATTTTCATGAAGTACAATTTATTATTCCTTTTTTCCCGTTTGTTTTTGGTGTTATATCTAAAAGGGTTCTGCCTATCCCAAGGACACAAAGATTTACCCCTATATTTTAAGAAGTAAATAACTCTTCCATTTAGGTCTGACCCATTTTGTATATGGCATGAGGAAGGGGTTTGTTCTGTTTGTAGACATCCAATTGCCTCAGTGCCATTTGTTGAAAAGCTATTTTTTTCACCATTGAATCATGTTGGCATACTTATTAAAAATGAACTGAACATACTTATTAGGATTTATTTTTGGACTCTAATTTCATTCCATAGATGTATACATTTGTACTTATGCCAGTACCTCATCTTTTTTTATTTTTTATTTTTATTTATTTATTTTAGAAAGAGAAAGGAAGGGAGAGAGAGAAACATCAATTTGTTGTTCCACTTACTTATGCATCCATTAGTTGATTCTTCTATGTGCCCTGACTGGGGATGGAACCTGCAACCTTGGTGTGTGGATGATGCTCTAGCCAACTGAGCTACCTGGCCAGGGCCCTGCATTGTTTTGATTGCTGTAGCTTTGTAGCAGATTTTGAAATTGGGAAGGCTGAATCTTCCAACTTTATACCTTTTTCCCCCCAAGATTTTTTGATCATTTTCAACTCCTCAAATTTTCACATGAATATTTATTTGTTATTTATTTATTTATTTATTTATTTATTTATTTACTCACTCTCAAGGGCAAAAAGTAAGATGTAGACCACAGTTTCTGCCTTGGCCCCAGGGGCTGCTGTAACAGAACAGTTTTGATTTTGATACACATCAATCTCTCATCCCCTCACCTTCAACTCCAGCTGCCCAAAAACTCCTTAAGTGGAATAGGAAGACAGGTCTCTGAAACTCAACCCAGCTGGGACTGCAACCCAGCTGGTAGGGGACAAAAAAAGGCCATCTTCATCCCTACTCCCCTACCCTTAACACCCTTCTCAGGGTGCTCTGTGCTTCCCTGAATGTTGAGAAGAAATGCCTACCAGCGAATCTGAATGCAGATAGGCTTGAATGACAAGTGTCTTCCCAGCTTTGGCCTTCTGAGCGCTATGACTGGAGAATCACTTGCCCTCTCCAGGGGTCACCTGCCCACCCCCCATGGCTCCAGACACCACTGTCCAACCCCCACCCCACAATTAGGCAAGAGGGGTTTTTGAATAGTTGGTATTAATTCTTTTAAAAATACTTGGTAAAACTCATCAGTGAAATCATCTGGACCTGGACTTTTTAAATGTGAAGCTTTAAAATTACTAATTCCATGTTTTAATTTCTTAAAGGTTTTTCCAGATTTTTTAATTTTTTTGAGGCAGTCTCCCTAGTTTTTGTTATTCTACGAATTTTTCCATTTCATCAATTATCTAATTTGTTGGCATACAGTTGTTCATAGCATTCCCTTATAATCATTTTTGTATTTGTACTGTACAAAATGTCCCTCTTTATCTCTTATAACATTTTGTGTTAAAGTGTATTTTGTGTGATATAGTAAAGTCTCTCCAGGCTTCTATGGATGTGTGTACATATTGTGTCTTTATTTTTTAAAATTTCAGCCTATTTTTGTCTTTGAGTCTGAAGTGTCGTTTGTTTGGATTTTCACATTTTATCCAAACTTGCTTTCAGTCTGAAGAATTTCTTCTTTCTTGTAAGGGTGGTCTGGTAGCAGTGGATTCATGGTATTTTATTTTATTTTATTTTATTTTATTTTATTTTATTTTATTTTATTTTATTTTATTTATTTAATTTTATTATTTTATTTATTTGTTTCTTTTAGTTTTTTAATCTGGATTTATTTATTTTACCTTTAGTTTTGAAAAATAGTTCTATTTCGGTTGACAGGTTTTGTTTTCCCCAGCACACTGAATATGCCATCTTACTTCCTGGACTCTATTATAGTTTCTTATGGTGAGTCAGGTGTTAATCTTACTGGAGTTCCCTTGTATGAGATGAGTTACAGTTCTCTTCATGCTCAAGAAGTTTTCTCTTTGTCTTTTTAAAAAATATTTTGACTATGATACATCTTGGTGTAGATCTCTGTGTTTATCCCATTTAGAGTTTATTTATCTTGAATTTGCAGATTGATGTCTTTTATCAAATTTACAAGATTTTGCCATCATTAGTTTGAATATTTCTTGTGCTTATATTTCGCCTCTCTTTCTGGTACTCTCTTAGGAACATGTTGGTGGAGTTAATGGTGTCTACATATATGAGTCTTGGTTCTGTTTTCTTCATTTTTATTTCTCTCGGTTTTTTAGATTGCATAATGTCTGTTGGTCTGTCTTCCAGTTCACTAATTCTCCTTTCAACTTCAATCTACTGTTGAGACCTAATGAGTTTCCATTATAGTTATTGTAATTTTCAGATTTAGAATTTTTATTTCATTCTCTTCTTTATCTTTATTGATATTCTTTATGTGCTGAGGTGTCATGATACTCCCTTTACTTCCTTAAGCCCTGTTTCCTTTTGAACATATCACATATGTATACTATATTTTGGATATTAACTCCTTGTTAGAGCTTTTGCAAATATCTTCTCTCATTTGGTTGGTTGCCTTCTTTGTTTTGATAGAGTCCCATTCATTTATTTTTGCTTTTACTTCCCTTGTCTTTGGCGTCAAATTCATAAAATCCTTTCTAAGACCAAGGTTCATAAATGTAGTACCTATGTTTTCTTCTATGATTGTTTTGGGTCTTATATTTAGGCCTTTGATCCATTCTGAGTCCATTTTTGTGTATGGGGACAGACAGTAGTCTAGTTTCATTCTTTTGCATGTGGCTTTCCAATGTTCCCACCACTGTTTATGGAAGAGGCTTTATTTTCTCCATTGCATGTTTTTGGCTCTTTTATCATAAATTATTTGTCCATATACATGTGGAATCATTTCTAGGCTCTCAGTTTTTCCTCATTGGTTTGTGTGTGTATTTTTCTGCCAATACCATGTTGTTTTGATTATTGTAGCTTTGTAATGTATTTTGTCCAGCTTTGGTCTCAGAATTGCATTGATGGTTCAGTGGTGAGCACAGCAGCCTTTCTAGGTAATATTTTTATTGGTTTTTATTTTATAACTCCTTCAACTTTAGTTTGTGTTTCCCTTCTCACCAGAGAGCCAATTACTAGAGAGTTGTTTGTATGTCCAGAGGGAAGCTCATTTTTTCTTATTAATATCTAGTTTTACTGCATTATTACCTGAGTTTGTTATCTATGTCAGTTTTTGTTAATGTTTCATATACACTTGAAATGCAGGTATATTTTATTATAAGTTTAATAATACATGTCTTATTGATTATTATATTTGTCCTGTTTCCCCATAACTTTTTGTTTTGATCTGTCTTGAAATTTTCTTCTTAGTATGCTTCCATTTTTTTCTTGCATCTCTGAGTTCTGCTTCATGAACACTGTTTGGTCTCTAGACACTCATAACTGTTATTTTATCTATTCACAGGACTTTAGCATTTTAAAGTGTTTCTTTTTCCTTCCTGATATCGAAATTGCATCTCTATTTTCATTTGTCTGGAATAATATGTATTATCTCTTTGTTTTTAGCCTTTTTGAATCATTTTTTTTAAGTCTGTTCTTTACAGCATAGATTTGGGTTTTGCCTGTGAAAATTGTTTTCATTGATGAGTTAAGTCCATCACATTTAGTGATATGACTCATTTGTTAAGTCTCAGTTCTCTCCTATTGTTACATTTAATGAGTGTATCACACTTACCGAATTTTTCTATTTGGTATATTTCCTTTGTTCTTCTTAGAGGCAGGCAGTTGGGAAGTTTTGGCCTTTTTGTCCCAGTAGGTACTTTTGTTTTGATATCTCTTATGTTTGCCTTAGTTGCTTATTTTCTTTTCTTTTTTTTAAAAAAATATATCTTTATTGATTTCAGAGAGAGGAAAGGAGAGGGAGAGAGGGAGATAGAAACATCAATGATGAGAGTCATTGATCGGCTGCAGCCCACAACACGAGCATGTGCCCTGACTGGGAATCGAACCCTGATTGCCTGGATCCTAGGTCGATGCTCAACCGCTGAGCCACGCCCGGCCAGGCAGTTGCTTATTTTCTTACTTAAAACCTCTATTTGATTTTTCAGGTTTTAGTGACCCCCTTCAGGCTCTATTATTTATGTGACTGTCTTTGAGCTTATTCTTATTTCTTCTTTTTTCTCTTCTGTTCCTAAAGATTTTTTAGTTGCATTACTTTTGCTTCAACAGAACATGTAACATTTATATATTATTTTTTATCCTGTTCTCTGTTTTGGTCTTAGATCTACATCTACGATTAAATATATCCAGTGCTCATTTTTAAAAAATTTTTTTTTGCCAATCAAATCTTGGTTGCTTGAGGTTTGTTCTCTTCTAAAAGGCTTCATGATCATAGTAGTACCTAAGTTCTTCACTTTCTAAACTGGTTTGCCTCTTTCTATTTCTTTGATGCTTAAAGGGTAAGATGGCTGGACATACAACCTTTGACTCCTACTTACTTTTTCTGAAACAGTGTTGCTCCACTGATCCTTGCTTTATTGGTCACAAAAGTCTATTGCCAAACCTACATTTTTGTTTGTTGAGACTTTGTCTTTTTGTCCAGACGGCTTTTTCTTCATTTTTTTAGGTGTAGTAGTTTTGTTAAGGTATATCTGAGAGAGGACTGTTCCAGGTCAGCTTTCCCAGGTTCGTGATGGTCCTTTTGAATATGTGGATCAGATCTTTATTTTTGGACAGTTTCTTAGATTATTGTTTTTAATACTAGATTTTTCCCCATTGTTTTGTTTTTTTCTTTTTAGAGATTGCAGTCATACATACATATGTACATATAATTGTATTTTAAATTAAAAAAAATTGCGGACTATTTCATCCACAAATTTTTTGGATCCAATTTTCTTTCTTTAGTCTTGTTTTCTTTTTTTTAAATCCTCACCTGAGGACATTTTTTTCCATTGCTTTTCAGAGAAAGTAGAGGGAGGGAGGGAAAGAAAGAAACATTAATGTGAGAAAGACATATCACTTGGTTGCCTCCTGCATGCGCCCTGACTGGGGCCGCGGGTCGAGCCTGCAACCGAGGTACTTGTCATTGACTGAAATCGAACCCAAGACCCTTTGGTCTGAGGGCTGATGCTCTAACCACTGAGCCAAGCCGGCTAGGGCTGTTTTTGTTCTTTTTTCTGTTTCCATGCCTTTTTTTTTCAATGCTATCTATTAAAATTTCAGTCACATCTGTTTTCTCTTTGGGTTTTCTATTTGTCTGCTATTTTTCTGCTTGGACTTCTGTAGCAAAATACCACTGACTGGGTGGCTTAAATAACAAAAATTTATTATATCAGAGTTATGGAGCCTGAATGTCTAAAATGAAGGCCCCACAGGGTTGGTTTTTAGTGAGGCCCCTCTCCTTGGCCTGCAGGCAGTACCTTCTCTCTGTGTCCTCATGTGGCCTTTTCTCTGTACTTGTGTGGAGAGCAAGCAAGCTCAGGTGTCCCTTCTTTTTCTCATGTGAACACTATTCATATTGGATTAGTGCTCCACACTTATGACCTCATTTAACCTTCCCTTACCCCCTTAAAGGCCCTATCTTGAAATACCATCACATCTGGGATTAGGGAGATTCATTTAACATATGAATTTGGAGGGGGCCATAATTCAGTCCATAACAAGCTCCTTGTAACTTAAGTCCTATTTTCTAAGATCATTTTGTTGTTTTTACAGTTTTATTCCTCACTTCATTCAGGCCTTGCCTCCTTGACTCCCATCTACTACAAGTACCCTCTTTGGGATTTCCTAGTAGTCTGAGCTTATCTGTCAGAACTGAAACATTATCTCAGCATTTTCCTACTGACAGTGGGATTTTCCTTTCTCGAAGTAATTGTACTTGTACTTAATTATCTTTAAGTTCTCTCTATTCTTTTACATGTGGTTGCCTTAGTCTATAGCTAACTTTTTCCATAGATGTGGGCTCTATATCAGTTTCTTCTATATTTGCATATTTATTTCCTTAGTGGTGACCTGCATTTAGTAGCATTCCGTAGCTCCTAGTTATGCTAAAGTCATGGGTTAGTATAGGTAATTTTATTGCTCTACTTATATAGATCCTTGTAGTTCTTTTGGAGGATACATGATGAGAGATTCAGATTTAAGCAGTTACTATTATTTCTCAGACATTGGAAACTAAATGTATGTGTCCTAATAGCTAGTTTCTTCTCCCTTCTTCCACTATGGCAAGTTTTTTTTCTTTTTTCTTTTCTTCCCTCACCTGAAACATCCCAAATAGAAAAAAAAATATGTACTTGCAATTATTTTAATCCCTGGAGACTGGACAAGACATCAAAGTCAGCTATAACATAAAGCATTTGTATATAGGTCACGTTAATAAGAAATGTGTTAATATTTATATATGTAAGATGCATTTTTCTTATTTTTAGGCATCTGGAAACCTGATTACATGAAAGAGAGGAGCCAAGAAAACCAGTTTCACCATGTGTGGGAAGTTGTGTTCATGAATAACAAAATGCTGACTGAAGAGCAAAGTAATGTAATACGGAAACCATTTAACTTGGATACAAATTTTTTTACTTCCAGAAAAATACTCTGTCAGTGTGACTCATGTGGAATGAGTTTCAACTATATTTCAGGATTGATTATCAATAAGAAAAACCATTTAGGAAAAAAGACTGATGAATTTAATGCCTGTGGAAAGTTGCTACTCAATATTATACATGAAGAAACTCATATTAGAGAGAAAAGTGAATTTTTTAAAAATGGGAAAACTTCCAGTCATATTGAGGACCTTGTTCAACACGACAAGGTTCAAACTTTGCAGCAAAAATTTGAATTTAACATATATCGAGAAAATTTTCTTGAAAAGGCAATATTTAATACACACAAAAGAGAGATCACAGATGGAAATGATTGTGAGTATAATGAATATGGAAGAACATCCTGTGAGGATCCATCCTTGTTATTACATCAGATAATGCCCTCAAAGGAAAATCATTATGAATTTAGTGTTTGTGGGAAATCCTTATGTGTGAATTCTACCTTTTTGAAGCATCATGGGTCATATATGAAACACTGTGAATGTAGTGAAAATGGGAATAATTTCAGGAAGAAGTTACACATCTCACAAGTTCAGAAAACTCATAAAGGAGAGAAACACTTTGAATGTAATGAGTGCAGAAAAGCTTTCTGGATGAAGTCACACCTCACTCGACATCAGAGGATACATACGGGACAGAAATGCTTTCAATGTAATGAATGTGGAAAAATGTTTTGGGAGAAGTCAAACCTCACTAAACATCAGAGGTCACACACAGGGGAGAAACCCTATGAATGCAGTGAATGTGAGAAAGCCTTCAGCTACAAGTCAGCCCTCACATTACACCAGAGAACACATACAGGGAAGAAACCCTATCAATGTAATGTATGTGGGAAAACTTTTTACCAGAAGTCAGACCTCACTAAACATCAGAGAACACACACAGGACTGAAACCCTATGAATGTTATGAATGTGGGAAGTTCTTCTGCATGAATTCACATCTCACAGTACACCGGCGAACTCATACAGGTGAGAAACCCTTTGAATGCCTTCAGTGTGGGAAGTCTTTCTGTCAGAAGTCACATCTTACACAACATCAGAGAACTCACATAGGGGATAAACCCTATGAATGTAATGTATGTGGCAAAGCTTTCTACCACAAGTCTGTACTCACCAGGCATCAAATAATTCATACAGGGGTGAAACCTTATGAATGTTACGAATGTGGAAAAACCTTCTGCTTGAAGTCTGACCTCACAGTACATCAGAGAACTCACACAGGGGAAAAACCCTTTGCATGTCCTGAATGTGGGAAATTCTTCAGCCATAAGTCCACCCTCTCTCAACATTATAGAACACATACAGGGGAGAAACCCTATGAATGTCAGGAATGTGGAAAAATCTTCTATAATAAATCATACCTAGCTAAACATAATAGAACACATACAGGGGAGAAACCATATGAATGCATTGAATGTGGGAAAACCTTCTGCCAGAAATCACAACTCACTCAGCACCAGAGAATTCATGTAGGGGAGAAACCCTATGAATGTAGTGAATGTGGAAAGGCTTTCTGTCATAAGTCAGCTCTAATTGTACACCAGAGAACTCATACAGATGAAAAGCCCTATAAATGTAATGAGTGTGGAAAATCTTTCTGTGTGAAGTCAGGACTTATTCTACATCAGAGAAAACACACAGGGGAGAAACCCTATGAATGTAATGAATGTGGGAAGTCTTTTAGTCACAAATCATCCCTCACAGTGCATCACAGAGCTCACACAGGAGAGAAAGCTTGTCAATGTAATGAATGTGGGAAAATTTTTTATCGTAAATCAGACCTTGCTAAACATCAGAGATCACACACAGGGGAGAAACCCTATGAATGTAACACATGTGGAAAATACTTCTCTCAGAAGTCAAACCTCATTGTACATCAGAGAACACACACAGGAGGAAAATCTTGTGATTGAAGTGAATATTAGAAATGTTGAGTCACAATTTAGCACCCACTACACTTCAGAAAGTTCACCCTGTGGAGAAAGCTCTGTTGACATTCTGAATTCAGTAACTTTTGTCCACAAACAGGCCTTATTTTACTTCAAAATAATGATATGGGACAAACTCATAGACTGTAACAAATAGAGGACAGTCTTGTTAAGTAGTAACATTCCATTGAATGTCAAATAACTATTATTGCTATAAAACCCTACAAATGTTTTATTTTGTAAAAGTTTTTAGCAAAAATTCAAAGTAGGTTATGTCAATTTATACTAGAGAGAAATCTGTCAATTTGAAGCATATAGTTTGAAAAACTTATTTAGATGTAATATAACATTAATAGTTGTGTTTTGGTTTTTATGTCAGAATTTTGTAATTTATGGATGTATATTGTACAATGTAGAGCTTTAAAACAAAACAAAAAAGAAATAGCAAAATGAAAAAATAGAATCACAAGAAGTTGCAATAATAGTACATAGAATTCTCATGTGCCCTTCACCAAGCTGCCTCTGATGATTATATCCTACCTAACCATATTACATTCTCAAGTACAAGAAATTGATGGTGCCCTACTTCTGTGTCAGATACAGATCATATTCAGATTTCCCCTATTTTTACATGCGCTATGTGTGTTTGTGTGTGTAGTTCTATGAAATTTTATCACTTTGCACAACTATCCTCATAATCAGGTTACAAAATCAAAAAGAAATCTGGAACCTGTATTTCATCAGGTTTACAAAGGAATAAGGATTTCACCACAGGAAGTTTTCTTGCTTTAATTACACCCTTTTGCATTCCAAATCCTGCCAACCATTTGAATATGAAGCTTTTTAAAAGCAGAGATAAATTGAGTAATCAGGGCAGCCACATTAAATGCATACATGAAGCATCCCTTAAGTTCACAGGACTTATGTGTGTATAAGTGCTATGTTACAAAAACTATATGTGTTTCATATGCATAATGGAACTCAATATAATTGTGAATAGGAAATAAGTATTCCTAGTTTAGTAGTAGTTACATCAGGTACATTCCCCATGTGTGTAGGGCCCAAAGCAGTAGTTTAAAAGTAGGACTGCAAAGCTAATGTCAACCACTTAAAAGTTATAAATAAAAACAACAAAAAAATAAAATGTAATCTGTGCATGAGGAGGTCTAGGTCCTAGTCTCATTGCCTCCCTTTTTCATTCAGTTCATCTCAGCCATGGGGTTCCTTGAGTATACATATGTGAATATTCTAGCCATAAGCCTAAACTTTATCCAAACCCTCTAATCAGTTGCCCTCCGAGACTGGGTCCAGGAGAGAAGTCACAGACAAACTAGATGACACTTGGGTGTAAGCTGGGCTGTAAATTCAGGGGTCTGATATACCCAGAGAGATATCTGGGCCCTTGGAGACATTTGACTATATGAATGGGAGGGTTGAGGCTGGAGCAGGGACAGGGTAGAGCTAGACCAGGCCTTTTATTGACTGTGTATAGCCAGTTACATCATTAAGTTACACAAGTAATCTAAGATTATACAATCTAGTGATCTTAGAGTCTAAATAAATAGTCTAAACTTCCATCTTATGAAACTAGAGAAACAAGGACAAATTAAAGTAAGCAAAACAAAGAAATAGTAAGGATCAAAGTGGAAATCAGACTGAAAACAGAAAATCTATCGAGAAAATTAGTAAAGCCAAAAGCTTGTTCTTTGAAAAAGTCAGTAAAATTGTTAAACCTCTAGCTAAGTTAACTGAGAAAAAGAGAAGACATAAATTGCTAAATCAGAAATGAAAAAGGGCCCTTAACTCCATGGGCATGAAAAGGAGTATAAAGGAATATAGTGGACTCTGTGCCTACAAATTTGATAACCTAGATGAACCAATTCCTTGAAAGACACGATCTGCCAAAACTCAGAATTATAAAGCTGAATGGACATGTATCTATTAAATTGAACCAACACTTAATATTCCAAATAAAAAAGTATCAACCCTGATGGGTTCCTTTGTGAATTCTAACAATATTTAAGAAAGAAATACCAATCCTCTACAATCTCAGAAAGTAAAAGCAGAGGGAATACTTTCTAATTCATTCTGTGGCTGGCATTACCCTACTAGCAAAACCAGGCAGACATTACAAGAATGGAAAACTGCAGACCAATATTGCTCATGAACAGAGATGCAGAAATACTGAACCAAATAGTAGCAAATTGAATCCAGCAATGTATAAAATAATTATATGTCATGACCAGGTGGGATTTGTTCCAGGTATGCAAGGCTGAGTCAACATTCAGTAATCAATATGACACATCACATCAGCAGGCTAAAGAAGAAATACCATATGGTCATGTTAATAGATGCAGAAAAGCATTTCACAAAATCTTTTTAAATTTTTATTTTTTTAATCTTCACCAGAGGATATTTTTTCCATTGCTTTTCAGAGAGAGTGGGGGTGGGGGGAGAGAGAAACATCGATGTGAGAGAGGGACATCAATTGGTTGCCTCCTGCACACACCATGACTGGGGCCAAATCTGCAACTGAGGTACGTGCCCTTGGCCGTAATAGAACCTGAGACCCGTCAGTCCACGGGCCAATGCTCTAACCACTGAGCAAAGCTAGCTAGGGCAGCATTTTGCAAAATCTTAACACTCTCATTATAAAAATCTAAGAATACAAGGGACTTCCTTAACTTGGTAAGGAACATCTACAAAAAAGCTATAGATAATATGCTTAATGGTAAGAAACTAGATGCTTTCCTAGTAAGTTAAGGTGCAATGTAAGGAGGTCCTCTGTCACCACTCCTTTTCAACATCCTTCTTGTCCTAGCTAATGCAGTAAGACAAATGAAATAAAAGGTACACAGACTTAGAAGGAAGAGAAAACTGTTCACAGATAACATCATTATGTAGAAAATTTCAAAGAATCAACAACAAAACTTCCTGATACCGGTAAGCAATTACAGCAGGGTTGGAGGAAGTGATGCTTGGGTGGGTGATAAAAAGAAATGAGTGATGCAGTAACTAAAGACATGGAGGAACCTTGGATGCATATTGCTAAATGAAAGGAGCCAAACTGAAAAGGCTTTATAATGTATGATTCCAACAATAATGCATTCTGATAAAACTGGAGACACAAACATCTGGGGTTGCTAGGGTTTGGGGGTGGGAGTGGAAGGGATGAAGAGGTAGGTTACAGAGGACTTTTAGGGCAGCGAAGCTACCTTCTAAGATATTCTAGGGGTGGATACATGCCATTGGTTTGTCAGGAGAATGTAAAATGGTAAGCCCTGATGTAAACTATGGACTAGTAATCACATATCAATATTGGCTCATGGGTTGTGACAAACGTACCACCTAATGCAAGATAATTATAGGGGAAACTGGAGAGGGTTAGAGGTGAAGGGGTATGTGTGAACTCAGTACTTCTCAATCGTTTTGTAACTTACAACTACTCTACAAAATAAAGTATATTAATTAAACAACCCTGTGTGTACATATCTCTAAGGATACATTTTTAGATATTTACAAAATTCAAAACGTCATCCAGTACCAGTTTTCCTGTAGTGGGGGAAATGCATTCTCAGAAGTCATCTATTGACAACCATAAAAGTGTGTTTCAGTTACAGCTTTCTGCTTTTCTAAGCCTTAATGTCATTTTTTGTAATTATCTTAAATGTCTTACCTCTTTTTCTCTTTATAACATCTTGTTTCTGTATGGAAGTTTTTTGTTTGTCGGTTATATGTTTCTGTATTTTAACTATAATCATCACTAATGAACATTTTAATTGTTTTTATAGTCCTGAAATATTTCAAATTATAGCAACTGTGGTCTGAAATTCATACCCAATATCATAGACTCTCTTGACATCTGAGGCTGGCAGGACTTCTGATGACCTAGCTGCAAGTTTCCCTCCCTGTTCTCTTCCCACAGACAAGGCCCTGTGCTCAGACTACCCCCTTCCCTTCCCCAGGAAGACCAGGCACAGGCATAGTTCTTGCTTATTCCTGAGAAGGAAGTTTCACTTTCCTCCCAGCCAGCAAAATTATTCAAACAAGCCAGTCACATCCTCTCACAGCACCAGGGGTCACTGCACCCTCTTGCTACTACAGAGCCACTTACCATGACCCCAGTTGTTTCTTCTGTTCCCAGGTGTGACACCTGTGTGGCCCTGCGTGGCACGTGGTGTCCCCCTCACTTGGTGGGAGAATGTGCGAGGCTGGGAAACTTTTGTAGATCTCATCTGTACGGTGTCAGGTATGTTCATTCCATTACCCTCGTGCAGGAATTCCTCTATCAACAGTGAGTGGGACGCAGGCCGTACAGCTGGCTCGTGAACAGGACGGTTTATTCAAGAACAGGGTCACCTATTCCGTGTTGACTGATTTCTTTTGGCTAACTAACTGGGTTCATGAAATGGCAAAGCCTCTTGAGACAGAACCAGCCATTGCTGTCGGGCTTGCACTTTGGTCTGTATAGCACGGCGTTCTTTCTTGGGTGTCACTATCTCTTACCACCCCAGCAGGCTCTCATCCTTAAGAGAACTTTTTTTGGCTAACCGTTGGGTGGCTTGTCATTGGGTTCAGTCTGCTTGATAGGTGGTCTCTGAGGCTCATGCCTGTAAAGGCAGTGACCATACAGCACCCCAAATGGTGAGCATTTGAGCCCCACCTACCAAGGTTCTGGCTAGGGCGCTCTGGTCACTGCATATATAGCCTGGTGACCATCCCTGGCTGCTTGCGGTAACCATACATACTACTGTATTGTGCACGGTTGGGATGGGCATGCGGATGGCCCTTGGTGAAATCTGTGAAAAGGTAGGACATCACCACTGCAGGGAGAAACGAGCACGGCACCATAGTTGCCTAATGAGCTGTCACCGTTTAGGGAAGGGTAGCAGCTCTCCCCAACTCCTCTGCTGCTCCTTTGCTTTCCGCCATCTCACACACTCCTGACGCTCAGGAATATTGAAGTGCACATTCATGATGTCCCAGGGCCCAGACACTGATGAGAAAAGAAAAGGGGACCAGTCCCTCTCAAATTACCAGGGGAGGTACCCTAACTGCTCTTCCCATGGAAAACCCCTAGCCAATGTACCTGGGATTGGTTAGCGCTGCTGTTTACCAAGACACCAAAAGGCTAATCTTACAATCATGGGGCTTGGTGGCCTTGACCCAGGTCATAGACAAAATGACCTTACTGTTTGTGGACCCTGCACCCCAGAGAGATTGATTGGCATTTCCTGGAGGAGGGAGGCAGCTATCTAAGAGGCAGCCTGCAGGGCTCTTACTTTCTCCTATAACCACCCAGAAGATCCATGACATAGGTGACTGGATAGACACTAAAACTGGAAGCTGAGATTCTACATGACTGGCAATCCAAAATATTCTGAGGGAATTTGTAGGGAGATGAGCGACAGTGAAGGAAACCTCATGGCAGAAAAAAGAGGCAGCCATAGCACAGTGAACCTCGGTTTCGGGCCCAGCATGCTTTGCTTCACCACTGTGCTGCTTATGTCTGTTCAGGTCCTCTGCCCATTTTTTTTTTTTTTTTGGTAATCCTCACCCAAGGATATTTTTTCCATTGATTTTTAGGGAAGGGAGGGGAGGGGTGGGGGGAGAGAGAGAGAAAAAAAAAAACATTGATGAGAGAGACACACTGATTGATTGCTTCCTGCATGTGTTCCGAATGGGGCAGGGTATTGAACCTGCAACCAAGGTACGTGCCCTTGACCGGAAATCGAACCCGCAACCCTTTGGTCTGTGGGCTGATGCTCTAACCACCAACCAAAATCAGCCAGGGATCCTCTGTCCACTTTTTAATCAGATTGTTTGGTGGTGTATGAGTTTTTAAATATATTTTCAATATTAACCCCTTGTCAGAGCTGTTGTTCATAAATATCTTCTTCCATTCAGTTAGTTGCCTTTTTGTTTGGTTGGTGCTTTCTTTTGCAGCCAACATAGCTTTTGAGTTTGCTATAGTGCCATTCATTTATTTTTGCCTCTACTTCCCTTGCTGTTGGGGTCAAGTTCATAAAATCACCTCTGAGAACAAGGTTCATAAGTTTAGTACCTATTTTTTTTCTATGTAATTTATTGTTTCAGTTCTTTTATTTAGGTCTTTGATCCATTTTGAATTAATTTTTGTATATGAGGACAAACAATAGCGTATCCTCATGGTTCGAGGGGAAAACACCCACCATATGGTACAGGAAAGACATTAATTCAAGTGTGACTTAAGCTGGGGATTTTTAAGCTGTATGAAGCAATTGTTGCCATGGAGAAGGCCCCGAACCTTGATGATCCTGATTGGAGGCTCATGAGAAAGAAATGTATAAGTTTCATCAGAGAAAAGAGAAATCCTCAAGTAGAAATGTGAATCAGTGTGGACCTGTAAGTTTGGCCATTTCTCCTTGACTGGACCCTTAGAAATCTTACCAAGGTGGCAGACCCTGGAGTTTTTGTGGGATTTATATCCCACCCTCAGGTACACAAGTGTCTTACCAAGGTACCTTGAATAATGCCTACTTTTTACACAGGAGGTTCGATCAGCATTGTGTAATCATTGTGATGGACCAGCAAGATGCATGGTGGGAGAAAAAGACGATCCAGATTTCTGTAAACGAGACTGATACAGGGATGAAGAGTTGCTATATCCCTCAGGTAGAGCAGTGAAGGTGTATTACTGGCCTTCCCAGCAGAAAGCAAACTGTCTATGATTGTATCTACAACCAGGTATAGGGGAAAAAGCATTTGCCACTAAATAGCTGCACACCAGGTGCCTAAGGAGTGTGGATTTGTTCCAGCAACAAAACCACATCTGGAGACACAGTGACAAGTGAAGTCACCACCTGATTACATATTTGATAATCCCCTGTGATTATCTAAGGTACATAGTCTTCTGCATTGGCCAAATAGGTAATTTGAATGGAGATGTAGATATCACCACCCCTAGATCTTTCCAGACCTTGACAGTGGCACAAATATCTGTCATCCCTCT